CCAGGCTCTTCCTAGTGGGGGTTGGGCCAGGCTGTGCTCAGGCCTCCACACCCCTTCCCTTCCACCACAACAGACTTACCAGCCTGATGCAGCTCTCCACACTGCCACGCTGTGCTCCTCGCCACCTATGTGCTGCACTGCAGCTGCACACATGCATGGGGTATTTATTGGCCAAATTAGACAAAAAAAAGCCGATTTCCGATACAGTCAACTTCCTTTATATTGATACCGATCCAATATTGGACTGATGTGTCAGTGCATCTCTAGTTCTACTCATTTCAAAATGAGAAACAGAATAAATGCACTGTACATTCTTGAAAAGGCTGTAAAAACAGAAAAATGTGCACTCTTCAAAACTAGTCTGACTGCCATATATTCATTACTTTGGTACAAATGCAACAAGTTATTTCAAAAGGTGGTCTGACTTGAATCTTGTTAAAATCTACAAAACAAGTTTTAAAAGACCATAACTCCCAAATAAAATTTTCTTAATTAGCAAAAGCAATACAAAATAGCGCTCAAACAAAAACTGTCCCAAAGATGCCTCAACTATGACATCCTTCTCTCTTAACTACCTTCCCTACTGAAAAGCTACCTGCCACATCTTATCTTGGTTTTCCAGTTTATATGCAACATCTTCCAGAAGTGTACCTCAAGTTCAGTGAATATTTGTTATCTCCATAATGTCCTAGCTTAGAAACCCTAAATGTGGTTTGTTGGCCTTCCTGAAAAGCATCTTTTAGTTTAGTGTTTCTCAACCCATGGGTCATGACCCAAAAGTGGGTTGCAAGAATATATGAAAGGGTTGCAAACAAACTTTAGAAATGGATCAACAAACTTTAAAAATGGATTCTCCTTTAAAGGAGAAAACCGTAGGAAACCGTGGCTTTTCTCTGGCAAGCTGGCAGAGTTCCAAACTGGAAGGAGCTGCTTTGGGGGTCCCCATGCCCCACACCCTCCCACCCCCCTGCCCCACACACCTACCCCCTAATCCCACATACTGGGGGCTGGGACCTGTGGGCACCAGGTCAGGAGTGAGGGGCACTGGGTCGGGACTGGTCACTGATGTCTGCAAACAAGTCCTGGAACAAAAAACAGTTGAGAACCACTATTTTAGCTGCTGCCCGTGCTGAGGGCCAGTGACTTAACTCAGAGTTCAATAAGGGAGTGTTATAAGAGTCAGCATAATATTTCTTCTCAAGGCCTTACCCCGAGAGTAGAATTTTCTTGCTTAACTATTCTACAAGACGGAAAAGAACTGAAGGACTATGCATAGCTTAAAAGCCTTCTGTAAGCAATATATTTCACCCCAGCTGAAAAGCATCTAAATTATTTGCTGCTTGTTGAGGTTTCTTTTGAAGCAGGTTAAAGACATTCCCAGTTCCAACAAACCCTGTACATCACGGCAGAGTAAATTAATGCTTTCCATTAGGGTTTCTACCTCAAAGTACGCAGTATTTTTCTGCTTTCTCACATTTGTATTCCACCTTTCATGACTTGCATCCTATTCTGACAGAGATAATTGAAAACAAAGCTTAAAATGATTGCAAAGTTAAATTAAACTGGAATGGACTCTAAGAACAGATTCTGGATATATCATTAAAAATATGGAGGGGTAGGATCCTAGGAAAAGAATGAAACAATGGGCAGAGCCCCAGAGAGCTGCATGAAATAAAAAAGCAGGGGAAAAGAGAATGCCAGTAAAGAATGCTAATGAAGATGTAGAGAATGCCAGAGAAAGTGTGAAGACCTAGCTGGGAGAACATTTAAACTCTTGATCATTTTCCTAATAGACCACATGCACCATTTCCAATACAAATAACAGACACCCCACATTAACTCTACACCCCGCCCATGTATACCTTCACCTTAATTCCATTCATAGTCTGGTTAAAAAAAAAAAATCAAGAGGGAAGCCCCTAAAAGGGTACGTGACAAGAGTGACAAGAAAAAAAAACCAGCTTAATTTACAGTAAACAAGATTTATATCTAACAGAGTAGGGAAACAGAAGAGCCACCTAAAGAGACTGGGGGGGGGGGAAAAATCACTTTCACTTGAGGTTTTTAAACAGGTTGACCAGCAGTCAGCAACCTTTTCAGGTTTTTTTTCCAGAATGATCAACCTCAGGTCAGAGGCAGATGGGCATTAGGGTGCTGCCACAACATGGAAGCACCTGCCACTGCTACTCCCTGCTGCAACACAGGGGGAAGGCCTGCCACTGAAGCTTCACATGCACGGGCCAGATTCAATGACTCCATGGGCTGTAGGTTTCCAGCCCCTGGGCTCGGCAAATGTCTGTGGGGTATAGATTAGTTACTTATGATCCCAATGCAATGTAAAAGAGCTGGACTACACCAGGGGTGCTCAACCTCTAGCCTGCAGGCCAAATGTGGCCTGTGTAGCCTTGGAATCTGGCCCCTTCCTACTGCCAAAATCCCGAGCCCCACAAGCCATGGCAAAGCCAGACAGCAACCTGCCCCTGGCTGGCTAGATCAGGGCAGGCCCACACCCCCTGACCTTTATGCAGCTGGGTTGGGGCCAGGCTGCACACCCTTTCCCTGTGGGACTGGGCTATGCCCTCTCCCCCATGAAGCTGATTTGACACTGGCCCATCCCTTTTTTCCCCTGTCCTCCACAGGGCCAGGTCATGCCTCCTATTGCCTGGCCAGGTTGGGACCAGGACATGCCCCCTTCCTCCCACAGGGCTGGGCCATGGACTCTCCCCTTGTGCAGCTGGTTCAGGGCTGGGCCACGTCAACTTCCCCACACAGGCCTTGCCAGTTTCCAGCTGTGGCACTCCCCCTTCCTCTGGTAGAGATGGGCCACACCCCCTCTCCCCACAGAACTGATCATGCCTCTTCCCCATCCCCACTGAGCTGGGTTGGGGCCATATTAAGCCCCATCTCCCCGCATAGATGGATCAGGGCCAGGCTGCACCCTACCCTGTTCTGCATCACTGGGTAGAGTCCTTCTGTGTCCATCCCGGTCACTGAACCAGGTCTCTGACCAGATCCAGCCTGTGGAGAGATCAGGCACTGCCAATCTGGCCTACTGGATAAAAAAAAAAGTTGAGCACCACCAAACTAAAGAATCACTGAGATGATCTGTGTTGGAAGAAGGCTCAGCTTCAATTTCAGCACACTCACCCACCTGTTCATACCACCACCCATACTTAATTGCTTCCTTATTATAAAGATAAGCAAGAGACTAAAACAAATTACTATGACATCAGCATACACCGATTCTCCGAATAGAAATGACACAACATACAATATAAAAAAATAAAATAGAAGTATATGCAAGGAAAAGAAACTGTGTGGGCAATACAAGTCAAGTGGGAAGGCAATGTAGGAAATATCCTGGAACGCTAATAATTCCTTTCCTGACATCTTAATATTTGTACTTAAGGCACAGTTTTATAAAGATTGTAACATTTGTCAATATGGCTGGATTTCTCTAAAACATGATTTTAAACTTTAACCACACAGTCTCTGTTAATAGTAAAAACAGAGAAAGAACTTCAAGTCTAGGATATTTAACTGGCAATTCTTGACCAAAATGGTATGTCTATAAAGTAGTACAGGATGCTGGCTTTTACCACTTGGGAGTATGTCCACAGAGGAACTTTTGCACCTGGCTCCTGGGATGGACTTCATGGCCTAGAGTTGAGCCCCCTGTCCCAGGACATGGAAGACAGACTATTTTCTCCTTACCAGAAGAGGTTGAAATTCACATCTGCCACCCACCTCCCAGGAGATGGTGGCTACAGGCTGCTCTAGGGTGAGGACACTCTTCACTCCTGTTGAATCTATGCTTAGTCCAAACAGGGACACTTAAGGTCTCCCCTGCTCTATAAAAGTGCCTTAAAGCTAGACTCATGCTTCACTTCCCTAGCCAAAAAAAAACCTTGAATTCTTTTCTAGCAGTGGCTGAGCTTCAATGGGAGAGGTGGATGGAAAATCCCACCAAAGGAACCTAATAAGGGTTAAGATACTTCCCTGAAATGGGAGACAAGTCTGAATCCCCTCAGGCTGAGGAGAATATCCAACCCAGGTGCCCCAAACACTGGGCAAGTGTTCTAATTACTGACTTGTTATATAAGAGATCACCAACAACATCATCATTGCCATCAGCGCTTCTTCTGTTTGCATTTCTAAATGAAAATGGCTCCGGCTAATATTTGTGCACGGAACTCAATCTTCCAGGTATCGGTTAAGCATGCTTCAAGTATGCTTTCTAAAGCAGGTCCCTCACAAAAGAGGCAGAAGAATGCCTAATGTGAGACTCCCAATTGTGCTTAAGTGTGAGATGACAGAACCAAGCAGCTCAGTCCTGCGAAGTGGACAGCAGTTCTGGACATTCCTGGAAGTGGAACCAGAAGCAGCTGGAAACTTTTACTAGCAAAAAGTTAGATGCCTACTGAAATACGTTAGGATAACTTTCTTTTGCTGCGACTGTCCTGCACAAAATGCACTTTTTACAATGCATGTTTCAAAGAATTCAATATTTTGAGTCTTCATCTAGTTACCAGAATGTTTTAAAAGTAACTGGGGTTTTCTCTGAAAACCAAATTAAAAAAAATATATATCTTATACAGCCAACACAAAGGCTTCTGAATGGGTTCAAGTACAAGCAAAAATAAATTTCAGTACCAAAGGCGAAACTGAGCTGCTGTTTAATATCAACTCCTATGAACTATAATATGATCACATTAAATTAGCAGATGGGAGAGTTCTACAAAGTAACTGGTTATGGTGAGGATGCTACCACTACACATACCTGGTCAAGTTAAAATATATAATTCCTTAAGTGTGTGTATGTATGTCAAAGGTCATGTCTTAAATGCAGTTTTTCTGTGCGCTGAGATAGACCACTAGTGGTCTAACTGAGCTCATTAACAGTTCATTAAAAGTATTGTTGACATCAGTGAAGCTCAATTTTATCAGTTCATGCAACCAAAACATTCACACTTTGGCAGTTCCATCTCTTTTAATTTTTCTGATATCAAAGTGAATTGCATTCAGCCATGATGAACGTAGGTGAGGTTTCACTGACTTCAATGGAGTTTCACCTGCTTGCGTCTGCAGTACATTCTTTCAAATGTGAATCCTGGGAAAGGGACGCAGATTTGTACGAGACCTGAAAAACCCAAAGGCCTGCCTCATATCAAAGAACTTTAAGGATCCAACAGCTCTCCCCTGTAGGGCAGAAGTCTTGGCATCCTGGTCAATTTCTCCTTCAGTTATGCAGCTCAATGACACTGCCTGGATAACACCCAAAAAAAAAGTAGCTGCAATATTTTAGTGCTATAAATATACACACATGCTAAACTAACTCAGGATCTCTAGGACTGCACCACTATTAAACATTAACAGCTTTGTATACTAAAAGGTGTTAATTGTAAATGAAGAAAAACATTTCTGTCAATAGGAGTACTCATACATACAAGCTACAGAACGCCCGCCCCCCACCCCCCACCATCTGTAAATTTCTAAGAAGTTTCTTGGATAGAAAATAAAATTTAAGCAGCAAATTACTTCTACCTTATAGTACCAAGCTAATAATGCAGCAGAAATACAGCAGTTTGCTGATACAATGCCATCAATTTCTAGCAACTGCCAGTGAAGCAGCTGCCTCAAATGCAAAAAGTTGCAAGATGCTAAAATACACATGCATAAGCAAAACCAACTTTACTTCCTGTACATTACAGGAAACCCTCAAAACCAACACTCAGAGAGGCAGAAGTGTAAAATATGACCTAGAATTTTACCCTAGAACCAAGTCCATTTTTTCAAATCCTATTTTAACTCAAAAATAGATTTACAAAGTGCAACAAAATGAAATTCAGTTATTGCAGGAAAGCAAATACTTCCCATCTTCCTCACCTAAAGGGTCCCACCCAAATTTGGCTTACCAGGACAGAGCATCTTTCTTTTTCACCCCTGGCCTATCTGTAGTGGCAGCTCCTCTGGGTTAAGAAGCTTATTCTGTCCTGCCCTACACACCTGGTTTCCCAAAACCAGGCAAGGTGGGGGCTGTTCTCCCCTCTACTCCTCCTGGGACTCGCTGACCCCTTCTTCCTCGAGCAGCTGCATGGGGCACAGCAACAATTCTGCACCCCACGGCTGGATACCGCCGTGCCCCCCCCCAGATGCAGACCTGAACCACGGGGATCGCTCCCCTGAAAGCTCTTTGCTCCCGTGTCCCAAAGCTGGGCCTGGCAGCACCCACTGTGCTCTCCAAGGCCCCCTTGCCTCAACTGGGCGTTTCAGCAGCAGACGAAGGCACGGTGCACCCGGCACCCCTTGCGTGACACCCCGCGCCGGCATCCCCTTCGGAGCTCCCCGCCCTTCCCGCGCAGGAGAGGAGCGCTCTGCTCCCGCGACCCCCC